CCTAGAATAATATACTCTGCAAAAACATAGTTTTAAGTGGTTTATGTTGTAGGGGATAAGGAGATCTAGGAGAAGACCAGTAAAAATCTGTAGGAAAATTGCTTCTTCAGAGCAGCCCCGCAGCTCTAGCACCATCCCAATTTGAACTTGTGCTTTCAGGGTCATTTGGTGCCCACTTGTGGCCTTTCATCCTATTCCTTCCTGCCATGGTGATCTCTTTGAGAGACTTCAGTCACGAAGGTCCTCGTACCAGAAGAGACAGCGGTACCCAAGGCCTGTCCTTTCAACTGTTGCTCTATAACTGTGTGCTAAAAGGACTGGGAAGGTGCATTGCTGGTGACAAATAATTGCTAATTAACAACCCTTGCTACCAGATGTTGTTTTCTTCTCATCTGTACTTTTGGAGTTTCAGTCCAAGATGAAGCAAGATGACAGCAAAAGAGATGTGAAGTGTTCTCAGTCTGATGCACTGCTCCTCTAGAGAGACATTCTGAAAGAAGCAAAAAATTCACGTGGAAGTTTTTTGTTTGTTTGTTTGTTTGTTTTTCTTTTGTGGAGATGAGCACTTGGGTAAAATGAATGGATCACAAAATAATAAGGAACGGGACAATTACAAGCAGAACTTATTTGTTATCTGCTGTCAAACCTCAGCAGTCAAGGGAACACAGTCATACATCCGCCCTAATGAAATGTGACAGACACTTAGAGACCAAAGGCTGACATTTACTGACAGCATTGCCATCTGCAAGGGAAAGCTGCTAGCATCCAGACATCATAATCTGTTCAGGACTGTTTATTATGGTACCTTTAAACTGCAAGACACAACCTCAGAATCTTTGTATTTTGTCAGCTCTGCACGTAGCCCCATTACTGCGGCTCGGATTTTAATTCTCAATCACTCAGCGTGCTCCCTAGCTGCATGGTTAACTTCCCAAATCATCAAGTGTCCTAATAGTCTGAGATACTGGTATTTGAAAGTGGGAAGAAAGTACACACAAAATAAATACAGCATGCATGCACACACGCACAAATCAACAAGCCTTCTAGCCTGCCAGCAGGCAGAATAGAAGTTAACCTAATTCTTACCAGGGCAGATGGAGTTATATAATCTGATTTATAAGAGTAAGGGGTTTTTCAAGGAAGTGAGGATTTAGCATATGTAGTTGTTTTGATAGCTTCAGAATCAAAACACAGCTTTAGTTTCAACACACAATGCGAGTAAAGGAAAAACAGTTAAAAAAAAAAAAAAGAAACATGCAGTAAAGGTACGGGCTTGTTTGTGGTTTGGGTGGGTGGTTTGTTGGTTTTTTTTTTTTGGATCATATCAAGGAAAAGCTTTACCTGTGCTGGAACACAAATTCAAACAGGGACTAGGGGGCCAATTCTATATGTTTTTTCCTCACATTTTTTTCTGAGCAAGGAAGAAGGTGACCTTGAGAGATATAGCACAGGTCAGCTGAAGTGAGAAAGAGCATGCAAAAATAAACAAACAAACAAACAAGGAAGCTAACTTAATCCTCTAGGCTTCGATGTTTCCTTGGATTATAAGGAAGAAAAACCTGAAGGCATGCATCGAGTTACAGAAGATGTGCCTATTTAGGCCTAGAAGTAAGGTTTTTCCACACATCAGGTATGCTGAAGGCTGGTCTGAATTCCTGGCTTGCTTGCTAATGTGTTTTATTTCCTGCCTGACCGTGAACAAAGAACACCCAGGGGCTTGTTGCTAAAAACAAACAAACTAACCACTACAACAGCAGACAAAGAGGGACTTGCTTAGCTGCTTAGCTCAGTGCAGGAACCTTTCTGGGCAGGTAGAAGGCCAGTGCTCTCTGCAGAGGTCTGCTCATTGGAGCCTGGATCCCCACCTGTTCTCATCTAGACCCTCAGCTCCTCTGAGGGTGATGATGAGCCATCCGTCACCTGACATGGGCTCCGATCTTCAAAATCAGCTTTAGCAGACAGAAGATAAAATTTGGTACCTTCGATAGGAAGCAGAGCTCTCAACTAGCTGGCATCCCATTGTTTTTATGTGCTGAGGAAGCACTGGTATTGTTCTTTCATACAGTCACCAGAGGGGACAATGATGCTGTAGTGATTCATTTAAATTTGAAAATGTTGCAGGAATGCACCGGATCCTCTCAAGAACCTCTTTTGTAGATTCCCTTGACTTTTTTTTTTTTTTTTTTCCTGGAGATGAAAATATAGAAATAAAGAAATGTACAAGGTCAAGAAAAGAGCTGCAGGGTCAACTTGCATTGCAAGGGCCACTTTCCCAGGCACTGCAGCCTCTGTTGCTGCCTGCAGCTTTCAGCCAAAGAGACTCCCTGTTCCCACCTAACTCTCATTGATGGAATATGTGGGAAATCAAATGTCAGATAAACCTGGTCAACTCTCATAAGTCAGGGCAAACTCTTCACCAGAATAGTTTTTCCCCAGAAGTATTAAAGATGAGTATCCTGTGGGTACATCAGCAAGAAGCTAAGGATGCACTGGCTAACACAGTTCTCCTTGGAAATAAACCTGTACAGTAAGCTGTGGGAAAGAGTCAATATCCCACCGATGAAGCAAATAAGATTTATTATATTCACTTTCCTTGTTCTGGAAGCAGATCGTTCATCTTGTATCTGAGGCTTTTCAGAATAAACTGTACTATGTGAAAGAAATGAAGGAAAACAGCATTAGTAAGAGGTATGTTTACTAAGAAATTATAAATATATGGCAAGGACAACTACTCTGGCAACTGGAGAGTGAGGCTTAATCTTCTGGAATGCTTTTGCACACGTAAATGCAAATAATAGTAGCTATTGACTCCCAAGAGCAGAAGCAAATGTTTCACTCAGCCAAAGGATGCCATTTAAAGTCTTCAACAGATGCAAGGAAGTAGCATTTAAGTCTTCAGAACAAAACAGTAATGTTCATCTTCCACCTCAGATCACAAAGCATGCAATTAGAGACTTCACTAGCTGATGATCCTAAATGGATTTCAACTCTGAAAGCACTCATAGATCATTTTGCTTAAAACTACTAGCAGCATCTTACTTCAATGTTTTTAGAATCAAGTTAGGTGGTTTCTGCCTCCAGCTTGTACAGAGAGAAAATTAGCTCTCACACAAGATCTACAGCCAGCTACTTTCACCACATATGTAAATGATTCATGATGATCTGAACTCTGTTGCCTTCTGCTATGGTCTATGGAGTAAAAACAAACAAAAAAAGCCCACAAATTTATTTCCTCTAGGACATTACTTATTACTGCTATGCACCTTTAGTGAAAGAAAAAGATGAAAACACAACATGAAAGCCACATCACGGTGGAATACATGATTCCACAGAGTAACTAGAAGTGAACTATTGTTGTTTTAATGTTAAAGCTTGCAAGCTCATATACAAAAACCAAGTAGCAAGCCCCTGGAAGAAACATTAATAAAAAAAGATAAGCTATGTTAATTGAACAAAGAGTCTGTCTAGCAGAAAAGAGCAGCTTAGAAGTATTTACACATCCATCTACTTCTTGGTATTCCCCAGAGAACTCAGGCGTAGCTGATGTGTGCTCATCCACCCTTCTGTGGAAGGAAGGAAATTGATGAAATCTGGCAGAGATGTAGGTGTTTTCAGAAGCCCATGCACATTGATGTCCAGAAAGTTTCATGAAAGTACTTACAGAAGTAGAGAGAGTCCTCGTTTTTACTCCCTTAGAATGGAATACAGTCCAAATTCAAAACCAGTAGGCCACAGAAAGCCCTTTGTTCTGGAAAACTTAAAACAAGGCAGAAGGTTATTTCAGCACTTATTTGATGGGGCCTCAAAGAGCCAGCCATGAGAAACCAATCTATTGGAAACAAGTAAGGCTGCTCCTTACTCTGGTGACTGGAAGAAAGACATTGTCAACAGCTCAGTTTTCCTCTTCACCTCTACATACTCTTATAACAATTAATTAATGCATCGCAGGAACCAACTGAGAGAAGTTAGACTATGCCAATATATAGATTTTCACTGATTTCATTTTTTTCGTAGCCCCAGAAAGGTAAGCAAGTGAAAAAGGGTGAATCCTATATTCTTTCAAGAATATATTTTATTTCCCCATACCCTTTTCTGAAGTTTAGATTAAGCACTGTCAGAAAAAGCTTTTGGTAATGACTCATTAACTCCTGCACTTGACATTACCACTCATGTAAAGACAAGCACAGCATATTTCATGGTAGCCACACTGAGAACAGCTACGCTGCTATTTTCGTATTCTTATTATTGTAGATACATTACAGTCAGACATGCATAAGAATACTGCTCCACCTCCCCCCCTGTTGCCCCCCCCCTCCCAAAAAAAAAAAAATCAGATGATAATATTTGAGACTTTAATTAAAGTTTTTAGATGCATCATTTACTGTTGATTATACATCCAAGATTTTCCGGTTCTTAGTGACAATGTTAACACAGAGCGCTTTTATTTTTCTAAAATGTTAAAATGAAAATGTTAGTTTCCAAGTTACACTGTGTTTTTCATTTTATAGTAAGGATTTCCAGTGTAACTGCCCAGAGCCACCAAATTTATGAACAGTGCTATTTAGTAATCGCTTACAACATTTTGCTGCATCCATGCAAATTTTCATTTAGGTACTGCTGCTTTATGCACAGTGCCTGATTACAATACAAAGAACACAAGCACACTAATAAAACCATGATAATCAACCTAAATGAAAATAAAGCAAGTGCAGCAGCAGGATAGATACAGATGCCTGATTCTACTTTGTGGGAAGAGAAGCAGTAAGTCTACTTTCATATTTGTGCATCCTTCTACTTATTGACAGTGCTAAAATGCATTGAATTTGTTTTAAATATGTCTAGATACCATTCTGATTGTCTTGCATTTTTAAGATAGAAATTACTGTGGTGGATAACTCTTCCAGTACCACAAACCTCCCAAGCACACTTCTTTTCTCAAAAGACTTCCTACATAATCTGAACATTTTTTTCCCTTTCTTTGGCAAGGAACCAGAGTCACATAAGGTGTTGAAATTTCTTTATTTGTAATCCAATCTGCATCACATCTGTAATAATTTATAGTCTGTGTTTTTCTCCCAGAAATATGATCTACCCATGAATTTACTAAAATTATCCGCTTTCCTCGCATGCAGTATAGATCTCAACTATGTACATCAGATGCAAATCGTGTGCAGAACATCCTTTGTCAACAGATAGGAGATACTAAATGCATGCCTTAATTTAGAGACATATAGTACAGATAGGAAATTCATTATTGGGGTCTCAAGGAAAACTACGCTATTTATGCGAGAGTATTTGGGTTTTTTTTGATAGTCTCCTATCAAACCACCTCACAGCTCTGTGAGGCTTCCTATCATTCTTTCTCTATGATGTGAGACTTATGACAGCACTGAAATGAAGGGCACAAGGTACTGGTTGAGTAACAAGGGCTAGGATAGTAAAGAGATAATACAGAAGACCACAGTGGAAGGAGGGTAGAATAGGTTCATACGAAGTAACAGCAAAAAGCCTATATCCACTGTTATTTTTAAGTACTTATTTGCATAACATAGAGATTAAGAAAAAAATATAGACATGTAATCTTCCAGTCTATGAAAGGTGCAAGTACCAAAAAGATATAAAAATACACGTCTTGCAAGTTTCTGTGCAAAAAAAAAAAGAAAGTAGAGTAATCCTAAATAAGTTGTGTTTTTGTTGTCCTGTTGTTCTCCCTCTTACATTACTGTAGGCAAACACCATTTAGCATCACAAAGCCTCTTCAGGAGGCTTGTTTTCCCTCATCCACTCCTCTTGCCTGCTCCTCAGCTTCAGAATTGAACCTTGACTCGCAGACAGCTTTCTTAGGTTCTCAGAAAGCAAAGACACAATGAGTGTTCAGAAAAGAGCTATCGCCTAACAGAAGGACAATTGATGAAAAAGCTAATAGTAAAAATATAACTATTACAACAAATACACACATGCTTCAAGACCAAATATTTCCTTCTTTCAAAGCTTGCTTGGCTGAGGAATCCATCCAGAACCTAGAGAAACAAACAAACTGTGTACTTGCAATATAGTTAAGTCCTAATTATTAAAGGATTTTTAACAACTTCACATTGAATTCATCCTAGCATTTTTAAATGAAATAAAGAGTGAGCTGGAGCATTTTCTGGTATAACTCAATGCTGTTAAAAGAAACAACCAAACAACACAAGCTGTGATACCAGTACAATAGAAAACATTACAATGACAGCACAGTAGCAAATACCTAGGCTACAGCAGATAAGTTCCAATACACCAACTATGGACACAAAGAAAAGAATCTGCTTACTCTTAGAAGGCTTCAGGTATGTAAAAATCTCCAGCAAGTGATACCCCCACTCCCATCACCAACCCCTAAATGAGGTCTGGGAAGGGATGGATCGTGGTTCTACCCCTTCTTTTCACTCAGGGGCATTACATGCACCTGAGTTCCCCTGGGTTGGCTCTGCCTTCCCACCAGATGCTCAGTCACTGGTTCAAGCTGTGACTAGCATTTTCACTACACAAGTAGATTTAAGAGGCTCAATATTACAGTATGTGGTTATTTGTGACTAAGCCCCTAGCCATGAGAAAGAATCCTGAAATTGATTAACACAGGTAGTAGAGCGTAGTAATAGCCAATTACTTAAATCAAAAAGTCACTATGAGACACATCTTGCTGAGTAGAAAAGCAATTATGAAAGTTTGTATCTTACTTTGCAGATTCTTTGCATCTGCTTCCAATATATTTCTAGGTATATTACTACAAGAATTCAGATGAAGTAGAGCTACAAGCCATTTCCAGAATGAAATAAACTATTATTCACTTAAGCTGTGTAATAGTGCAATCATCATTACAGTAAGGGAGCATAAAAGTTAAAGATGCATTTATTTAATGTGTATTTTCAGAAATATAATGGATTTCTTCAGCTATATAGAGTAGTTAAAGGATAAGTTCTGCATTACCAGCATAAAGCAGCGCTATCTGAGGTCAATCTATGTGACAATTGCAAATATCTAAAGTCACTTTATGCCCAGCAGGTGAGAAACCTCTACCATGAGAGAATTCAGACACAGTGTATTTCCATTCTTCAAATATTAATAAAGTCAAAATCTTTTTTCGTGAAGCCACTTCAGTATTCATTTCTGTAAAACAAGTCACAGCAAACTTTCAAAACTTTCATAGCTACCAAACTCCATATCAGCACATCTGTTTCTCTTCTTTCAATATCAAGAAAATTAAAAGGAGTGGTTGAGGCACAAGTGATTTTTGTACAGAAGTTCAGAAGGTACTTCAAATAAGTGGACCAAAATTTCAGTACTTATTTTAACTTCTTACAAAAAGAGACAAACATCACAGATCTATGTTCACAGACATAGACCATAGTTGCTGCAAAGTCATAGTGGATGCTTTTCTTTTTTCCAGGATGAAAAAAAAAAAAGAGAATGGTTCTTGAAACTTGCCAAATCCATTTTACACATCCATGGTTAATCAAAACAAATGACAATCTCATATCTCAAAGCAGCCTGAGAGCATTCTGCTACACACAATAGTAAACTGTTTCTTCTGTGAAGACAGCTTCAGTGAACCCGGTAAGACAGAGTCTGACCAGCTGGCCTGGAAGCAACATTGCACGTAGAACTGACAGGGAAGTGCACTGACAACATGCTTTGGAAAATATGTCCATACAATAAACCTTGTGCTTGAAACTACCCTTACAGCTATGGTTATTGTTTCTTTTATGAGGCACTGCGTAAATATGGAGTTAGTCATCTAATGCACTTAATATTTTTCAGCTGAAGACTATTGCAGCTTTACTCTATGTCTAGGTGTTGATTATACTTTGGTTTGCTTCACAACAGTAGCATGGCGCTAGCAGTACAGCTGATACTAAAGAGAAGGCTGAAATCATGGCAGACGGAAGGATCAATACGAACAAGCTGCTCCTTTACTTTTTTTCATGCTTCTTGGTTAACTTTCCTCTTTCTAGCTGGAGGCTCATGCTGCTGTTTGTTCGCTTCTCCTTTTGTTGGTTCTCCCGAGAAACTTGCTGCACAGCTTGGAGGATAGCAGTCTGCACTATCTGCTTGCTGGCATTCTGCAGCTTAACCTCGTCTTGCTCTGGTCCTGGTTTCTCACCTGTCAGAACCAAACGACAAACAAGGTGATTTAAGCATTTGTGGCTACTCTGTGAAATAGAGAACTGGGTAAGGAGAGTGGGAGACAGGAGTACTTGGGAACAGCTTACGACATAGGGAACCACAGAAGATGCTGTAGTAGGGTGTAAAATGCCTGCTGTATGCCAAGGATTATCTGAATGAAGAGGGAGACTGAGTCATAGACCTCAGCTACCCGCTTCCCAGCCAGAGGACAGCTGTGTCTTCACAGCTGAAACAAGTATCATTCTATTTTGCAGCAAGAGAGGGAAAGTGTTTTTTTTCCCTCATCTATCTCTGAATCATATCCTTTTTGATTAGATGTGAGCTTCTCTATGGGGATTTTGACTTCATTTTGCAGTTCCGATGCATTTTCATTCATGACCATAAAAGGAAACAGTTTTCATTAAGGTTTCTATTTACTTAAAATTAAAAGCCTTCACCCACTGAATTCCAATTGGCTTAAATGCAAACACTTTCTTAAATGTAAGTTCATTAATCCTAAGCTACATTTTCAAAAGCATTTGAAAAACATTAAGAAATGCTCAGATTGCTACAGCTAAAGTAGGAAAACAAATAAACAAAACTCCACTGCCAACAGCAACCTAAAAAAAAATACACATTTTATGTGATAGTTTCTAGTTTCACCAAAATGCTAAAACCTGGAGCAAAAGTAATGTTCTGTGACAACTAGCATGGAAATGAAGAAAAGTAGATTAGAGACTACTTTGTTTCCTAGCAGAAAAGATGACTTGATAGGACAACAAGGAATGCTGTAAAATGGTCGAGGTTCACCTACAGGGATTTAGGAAAACACACTTGCTAATGGAATTACTTAGGGTAGGGGCTTAATTGCATTACTAGATTTGATTTTAAAGGCTTTTGAGATAATATTCTTAGTTCTTTCTTAATCTATTGTGTTATACTCACATAGTTCATGAAATGGGATTTGTACTTCACTGTCTGGTTTGAAGGCATTTATTAAGAATTATGTCCTGAGAGAAGTAAAATAGAGTGAATGAAAGATCAGACGAGACCAGATGCTCTCATAAGAGGTCCACATTTGGAGTTGTGAGACATACTGTTTCTTAAGAAATAGTTGGAAGAAAATTTTAGATAGAAACAAAAAGTAAAGTAAAATCACCAGTTTATCTTATGAAAGACGATACAAAGATTTGTGAGACCAGACCAACCACTAGCAAAATAATTAAACCTTATTCTGTAAGAACTAAACAATTCATTATCTCAAATATTTCTTTGAAAGAAGTTCAAAAGTACTTTTTTTTTTATATCCATGATATACATACTATACGATTTCTGGCTAAGAGTAAAAATGTAAGCATGCTTTTTTCTATTGAAATAAAATATATAAAATTTAAAATCAACATGCAACTGTATCAAGCTTACTAGCTTTAGTAACTTGGTAATAACAGTAACAGTAATGGTGACAGGAGGTTAGTTGAAGTAGATGATCTTGTAGGTCTTTTTCAATCTTGTGATTCTATGATTCAATTTAACAGTAATGTACAGATACTACTCTACTGCTCAAATATGAACTCACATTACTACACAATGAACTAGTCTTGCTGGGCTGAAAAGTATCAGCCAACTCAGTGTTTGGAAGATACGTTACCAAAAGTATGGATAAGTGTGAAACTCTCAATGTGAGTGAATCTGTAAATGCAAATGAGTATGCTGGATTGGGGTACAAAGGTATATGAAATGTGATCAATTTACCAACCCCCATCACCAAAAGAAATCAGATTTTATTTTTAAAAGCATACTGTCTGCAATCACGTTGTTGCTGAAAATTACTGATTTTTCTTTCTTTTGGAGCACTTTGCAATTTATTTTATTCTTCTTATTGTAAAAAATCTGAATTATATATATATATATATGTAAATATATATTAGTATGGTTACCTGTGTTTTTCAGTTATTTGTCATGGAGCAAAGCCGACTTTTAAATACAATTCATTTAAGTGAGACCTTGATTACATCTCCTTGTTAGACAGTGTTGGTGTGTGCCAGGAAAATAAACAAAGCAGATAGAAACCTCTGAACTACTTCTGATAGTTTAGGTATGCACAGAAAGGACATAAAGAAGCACAATCAAACATGTAACAACTTTTCATCAATATAACATATTTAGGATGATAGTAGCCCAGGTGGAAAAAAAAAAAAACAAAACAAAAAACTTAAATGCCCTTGGTTATGAAGCAAGTCAGAGATGCTGGGTGTTGTAAGTAATGGGGCCACTGAGAGTTTATGCTGACCAACCACATTTGAAATTAGCAGTCAGAAAATAAGAAGGGCATGAGAGAAGACAGAAAACTACAGACCTGTTAGTCTACCAACAATACTTGGAAAATATAGAGATTATCCTGGAGGTTACAGAAAAGTATTTAAAGAACAAAGCCATTACCATGCATAATCAACATGGGTTCATGTAGGGAAAATCCTGCCTTAGTAATTTGACCTTATCATATCATTGATATGATAATCCAGTCAGTGGATGTAATATTTCTAGATTTTAGTAAGGCTTTTGATGCTGCCTCTCAGCATCCTACTAGACAAATTGCCCAGATGTAGCATGAGCTTTTCTTTTCTCCTTTTCTTTCCTCTTTTCCTTTCACCTTTTGAGTTGGATATCAGACACAGTGCAGAGGTCTGACCCTATAGAGTGACTACCATATGTAGAAGCTGGACTGACAGCCAAGATCCATACATGTCAGTCAGTCACATATGAACACCTACTTCCTCTTGGACTGTAGTGCCTGTCACAGCTGGCCCAGAGGAGTAAGAAATTAGTTTGGTGTGTGTTCTCAACAAAATATAGGAAGTCATTGTCAGACATAACCTTTACAGTATAAAACACTATCCACTTATTATGCCCATTCTGCTTAAAAAAATTATGGTCACTGTGTGGCATAGTCCTGCCCTTGTGGCTACCACACCCTAAATTCCTCCATGGTGCTGCTAAGTCTTAATTAAGAGGATATCTGCCTTTTTCAGTCTTCCTCTACTGTCTTCTCTCTTGATACTATTTTATGCAGAGTCTAGATGGAGGGATGCTGTCATTTATTAGAAGGAATTAGAAAATTCAAGGTAAAAGATGGGATTGTGAATACAACAAATAGGACATTTACACTAAACATTAAGCAGTGTGAAAATTGAGAGGGTGTTGGGCATGAAGAGAAAGCCGTACTTTGAAATGGAAAACAGTGGGAAGTAAGGTCTGAAATCCCAGCTGCCTCTCAGAACAGTGGCTCTGCTCAAGAAGATTTCTAGGACCTAGAGCTATGTGACACATTTTTTTTCTTTAAATCTAGTATAGGGCTTTCTTTATATTTTTGTTTCCAATCATAGCTGATAAATGAGGATAAATGCATGTGGGTATTTGTTTGTTTGTTTGTTTTTCTGACCTTACCTTAACTTTTCTTGTATGGCTTAAGCTTTCAATCGTAGTTAATGTCATCTTCTGGCTAAAGACAGTAAAAATTTTTTAACTTTTTTTTTTCAGATGTCAGAGTTATAGGGTACTTTCAAAAGGACCATCTTCCAATGCATTTGTGAAACTAGGTTATTTTGCCCTAACTCAGATAAATAATCTTTCACAATTTGTGAAGCCCTAAGAATTTCAGGTACTGAAGTTGCTGTAAAAGGACTCCTGTTCAAGAGGATTACGAAAACAGAAATTTCTTCACTTTTTCCTCTTATTCCTCATCAGATACTGAATGGCTTAATAACGCCGAACACAGGAAAATACAGCAGTAATTCACCTGAGAGATGTGGGTTCAGCTGCCTTCTTGTTTCCAGCATGTGATAGTAGGAGATCCTTCCCCTCCCCTCAGCACCGGTGAGACCACTTCTGGGGTACTGTATCCAGTTCTGCCTCACCCTTCCTCATGCAATAGAGACATAAACACATAGGATTGAGTCCAGCAAAGGGCCAAAAAGATGATGAAGGACTGGAGCTTCTCTTAAGGAGAAAGTTGAGAAGCTGAAAGCTGGAACTGTCTGGCCCGGAGAAGGCTCAGCGGTATCTCAAAAATGTCCATAAGCACCTAGAGAGTGAAAATAGGATAGAGCCAGGCTCCTTCCAGGGTGGCCAGTGACAGAACATGAGGCAGTGGACACAAATTGGCTCACTCCCAACACCAGGAAAGTACTTCCGTGCTCTGTGAGTGATGAAGCACTAGCAAAGGCTGCCCAGAGAGGCTGTGAAATTTTCTCCCGCAGCGATCATCAAAAGCTGCCGAAACGTGGGCCTGGGCACCCTGCTCTGGGTGGCCTGCTTGAAAGGGATGTAGGATCAGATGACCTCCACAAGTCATTTCCAACCTCAACCATTATGTGATTTTGTGACTCCATCTAGTTAGGCTGCCATAGAACTCAACTTTTTCACTTCCTGAAGGAGTAAACAGCAATGTCTGGAAGGCTGTTCCCATCATTCCCTCTTTCTTCCAGCTATTCATTTCAAAGAAAACAGCCAGCACAAAGCTGCTTTCTGAGAAGGTCACTTCTTTATTGATATTCTGCACTTAGAAGAGAGCGACTGACTAAGGAAAACAGCAATGACTCATGCAAGTATCCCAAAGGGACTGAGCCGGAAAATGTCTATCAAACTGCTCCAGTTTGCTAAGATACAGACTGTTGTGGACATGAATAAATGCAGAACTTTGAGTGCCTATGGAATTAATAAGGCATTGTAAGAATCACATACTAATACTATTACCAATAAGGTAAAATATAGATATCTTCCCTGTGTCCAAGCATTTGTATTTGGCTAATCAAGTGTTAATAAGATACAGCTAAGTTTTTTTGTTTTTTTTAAGATTTGAAGAATAATGTTAATAAAAATTCCATGACAAAATTTCAGTTGAATTATTTGCTGGTAAAACGTTACATTACAGCAGAAATATCATTCTTCTTACAAGTTTCCCTTGTCTAATGGCCACATCAACATGAAAAATCCCCTTCATGTCAGAAAACCTTTTCTAGTCATTCTCTGCAGTATTACTGCAGTTATACTGCAAACTCCACTTTGGTTCTGCAATTGAAAATACAATGTGAAAGATGTGCAGAACTTCAAAGTCTTAGAATGGCTTTGGGAATCAGTCACGTATTCCACTTTCATGTAAAATTAGTGCCATATATTAATATCTAAAAATTTCCTTGGCTGTTCTGAAGCCTCATGAAGAAAAAATTGCTAGCAATTTAGAAAAATTAAAAAGCCAATAACAACACACACACACAAAAGCCCTGAAAAAATAAACACATTTAAAGCAAGTTCAAATTTTAAATTCCTAGAATGAGTATTAGGTTTAAGTTCAAGAATACCTTGTGTGGGACATCTTATACTCTGATGTTTCTAGACTATGGAATATACCTAGAAAAGTAAAAATCGAAATCAGTAACAATAGAGAAAGAGTGCTGAACACAGATTAAGTCTTGAAGAACTTCCATCTGGTTGTACAGGGACCTTTTTCTCATTTACTTACTTTACCTTCTTCAGAGCACCGAGATTCGCTTCCTTTCCAGCCTGAGATCAAAGCAGTCTCTTGTGCCTTTTCCCTTTCAGTTTACTGCTTGTTAAATTTAGTAAGATTTATAAACATTCTTACTAATTAATACTTAGCAAAACATCATTTATGTGAATCAGCAGTTCAAAAAGTTATCCACCATATATTTTCATAGAACTGTTAGGGATACTGTCATGAAGCTACAGACCCCGTTCTTCTTGCAACCACAGACCCCGTTCTTGCAAAGATATAAGTCCATCCCAGATCACCAGATTATGGGAACAAACTGGGGGGGAACAAGGCATCTTTCAGTGGATGAAGTATCAATATTTTAAAATATTTTAAAACAGAAGTAAAATTTTTCACATAGAATTAGAGCAAGGGCAAAATGATGAATGAGCTGTGGTAGGAAAGAACTTCAGACTCTTGGAAAGCATAGCCTACAAATAATTTATCCCATACTTTTTGAGAAGGCATTAGTCACATGTGAGCATGAATGACCATATATGAACATCCTACCTCTGTAATCTCAACAAATTTCTACTATCTCTCAGTTATCTTTTTTGCTTTTTAAGCATGTTTATTGTTCTTCCTAGAACAAAAATAATGCCTTTAATTTAAATCCATTTTTCTCAAAACTTGTGACACATGCATCTCATATCTTCCTGCAGGTTAGGTCTCATTTGGCCCTGAGACACAATACAAACCTGCATTTAAAGAGAACAACTTAACTCCTCCATCAGGTTCTGTGAACCCCAAGGGCCATGCATCAGAGGTTAAAAGCGTAACATCTGCTTCATGGGAATAACAAACATAGTTTAATTCTAGCATGTGAACACCTCTATAGCTGTTTGCCTGGAAAAAAAGGATTTTTTTTTTTAAATAGCTTTGAGTTCAGCCATTTTTAAATACAGTGAAACCATATTTCTCTAAGCAAGCATCAGAACAATTTAGAATTCAGTTACCCAAAATATATTTCCATTAGCTACAAGTTTGATTTATACAAAATTTCTCAATTTGAAAGAGATATGAAACAAAAACTAGCAGTGTTTTGCAAGAGATTATGTAAATATATCTCTAACTAGAAACATTACCATTTGTTTTAAGAATATATTACTTTGGTTTGGAATAGTTAACCATTATAATTTTTTCTGCAGCACTGCAATATTAGATTTTTTTTTCCCCCATGATTAATAAAAATAATAATAATCCAACAAAAATATAACTCTCTGGTAAGTCTATTTCAATTCCACTGGAAAATACTACTGATAGTTTTACAAACAAACCAACAGTACAGGTGACATTTAAATTGGAATGGAAGTACATATAAGCAAGACCATGATGATCAAATTTTATCATAGGGTCAAGCATGTATTTATCAGAAAAGTTACAGGACATCAGCTAATTTTTGTTTATAAACTGTAATTCTCACAAAAAAGCAAAGATTCTGGCAAGTTTGCAAATAACATAAAGTGTACATGTGGTAGTAATTAACTACATTGGTCTTGCATCACTGCATCAACACTGGTCTTCTACTGCAAAGAAGAGTTAGAATCTGTTCTTTACCCTCCTGCTGGCTGTAGGCAGTGGCATATCTCTCAATTTTCCTAGTCACAGAATGGAAATTACAGGTGAGAATCTACTGGGGAATATTTTATATCTTATATCTGCAAATCACAATGGTTAAAAATCTCCTTCTGTGCACTACTTAATTGGTTCGTGCTGGATTTTCAGCACTGGAATCCATAATTGGCAAAAGAGGTATAAAAGATGAGGCTGCACATCATCCATAATCAGGAAACGTTGATGATTCATATTAATTACATCCAAAATGAATGAACACATAAGTTATAAGGGCTATACACTTTCAAACATGTGCACAAAACCAACTCTATGCATGTGCCATTAAGGATTAGAGATCCAATTTATAGCAGTATCAGTAATGATGCCAGCTCAGATCTCATGAGAAGGTCCTAGACTGAAGCATTAAGGGGGGAAAAACATAAAGCAGGACAGAGAAAAAAGAAAGAAAAGAAAAAAAAAAAAGGAAAAAAACCCCCCGCATGTGCACTCTTCATTGTATTAAAATTAGTTCTGTCCAGTACTGTTACTCATGCCTCAGAATGGAGCTCTATGAGTTTCTGAATGGTAACTGTCAGGTTTTTAAGGAAACTCAGTTGTCCTGATTACTTGAGGAAGGAGGAAGTAAACTGAAGGTCTAGTATTAGACAGTTAGTAGATTAAATAGAAGTTGGTGGCCTGACTGTGAGAGGGGCTTGGAGCTGTTGATCCTTGAGATCCTTTCCAACCCAAGCCATTCTGTGCTTCTAAGATATCAGGAATACTTTCATGTAGGACTACCAGATTTTTCCAGTTCCCTAACCTGTAGTGTCAGAAGATTTTTAACACTCCCTCGCTTTCACCAGAGAAGTTATAGTTCAGTTATGTTTCCTGTCTAACCTCAGTCCTTGACTAGTGCTGTGCAACCACAAGAAGAAGAGGAGGTTAGGGAGAAGGACAACACAGACTACTTTGGATAAAAAAGAAAGCACAAAAATGAAATAGGAACAGCTTTGCTTTGAACACAAATCAAAGAATGATGGAAAGAGAAGAAAAGAAATGCAGATAGACTTTCCCTAAGGACAAGAAAATACCTCCAAAGTAATACTTTATAACCATATCACCTTTACATAATTTTTTTGTCCACTGTACTTTTCTCTTTCAGAGAAAAGCATAGATGTAAGAACCATAGCTTTTGGTTTGGATTTATATATCAATATTATTTTTATAAGTCCCTGGTGAGTTATTCCATAATACTTGAAATATGCCAACCAATATGAAGCTTTCAACATTTTTCAGATTAAGAAGTTGTTGAGATCTACAGATATTTAAGCTATTCTTAAGAATTTTTCAATATGTTTTATAAGATTTATTGTTGTACTTTAATAAGATTAACTAAGACAGATTATAAACTTCAGTTTATACATTTACTCAGTATCTTCATGCATAGTAATGGTCTCGTTGTTTAAGGACTACATGTTCATAGCTTTGTAGACTGGATGAGTTCAAAGTAGTAGTCACTGAATATTCTGCCATACATAAATCTATTAGCATGATACTCAGATTTTGTTGTTAGAATAAAAATTTCTTGAACTAACACTACAGGTCAACATTAACTGATCAGGGTTCTTTCTTTTTTTCTACTACCAAGGTAGAGCTCAGTGTACTTAAAATAAGATACTTTCTAAAAAATATGCGGGGCCAGCTTCTCTAAAATTAAAAAAAAAAAAAATTATCTTAATCTGCACGATTTTGCTATTTCTTTTAGAAGACACACTTCAAGTAGGAAGTAAGAAACATCTGTGTATCAAATGCTGTGCTTCTACATGGAAAGGAGAAGTCTAGTGTTACAGATACAGTTAGAAATTGTGTGCCATTAAACTTCTATTTTCTATTACTTAGGTGCTCAGATGTTACCAGTCAAAAGAACATTTTAGGCACAGAAAGTGACATAACATTTAGGCCTTCTAATTCTGTACCAAAAAATATCATTTGTGAGCTCACACAGAGCCTCACTGAATCCCCCACCTACCTTTTATTAAAAAGCTTTAAAAAGCTTTTTGTTAAAGCTTTGTGTTAAAAAGCTTTTGCTATCCATCACTATGTAGCATGGGTTAAACTTTTCAAAGGTGCCATGCTCCACTGTTAGCTGTTGTGTTCATATTTCTGCAGTGCCACACAGTTTTTGGTCTTCAGCTCTGTAAAGCTTAATCAAAATTTGCAATATCTCACTCTGCATAGTTTTTTGTTTGTTTGGTTGGTTGGTTTTTGCTTTTAATGTAAAGAAAATAAGGAAAAGGCAATGTAATTTGTCAAAAGCCAGCAAATCAGTGATAATATTCTGCAAGCTGTAACAACTGTATAGGAAAAGTGTCCTGCTTATTTCAGAATGTGAAATGAGTTTGAAAGGTGTATATTAAGGTTGTTATAAATTGTGGATGAATATATACATATATGCATGTGTATATGCAAAGTTACAAGACAAAGTGTATAAAAGATTATATAAATTTAGAATGTGCCTTCGAAGAGGTGCATTTTCACAGCTGCAATCTGACAGTGTATCTATGCCGTTTTCCTCTCTTGGATCAAACTTTCCAGAGAAGTATTTTTACCTCTAAAGAGAAAGGTTACTTCAAGACAGAAGGTAAGGTTGATCTGATTATTTAACAAATGTAGTAATGGGTATGCATGACCTTTATACTGATAAATGGTAAGTTGATTCCCTAATCAAAGTAAGAAAATAGTGTCATTATATCACATATGCATACTACAAAGTGAAGCAAATGAAAGTAATCCACAGGAGATTACACTTGCCTTACAGAAATATCTGCATGGCTCAACATACTTCTTCAGGCAGAAAATTTCTTTAAGAAAGAAGACAGCATCTTCTGACAACATGACTACAAGCATTTGCCGGGTCAGATGATACCAGCACAGAGCTCACCTGCATTGACTTCCTTGGCAAGGCATTCTATAGGAATTTTATGGCTATTCAGGTCATCTTCTCATTTCTGTTAACATCAATAAAGATTCTGCTCCAATTGCAACTTCTTAAAAAATAATAAATCTTATTCTTGCAAATAATAATAGCAGTAATAACATCTTATTCTTATTCTTGCAAAATATTAGGGAAAGAACATAACAAAAATGGCTAACCTCTCAGATAATTTCACAAGGCCTATGAAGAAATTACTTCATACATTGCTTGCAAAGAACTTATGCTTAACTTCTTACGTGTAAACATGATATGTGAAGTCCTTAATAAAATACCTAATGTGTAAGATTGAAGATATAGGGAGAAATCTAA